TGCCTTTATTATTATGGACTAGCAATTACAATTGCATTATTATACTATATTTATATGAAATACTATATAATATCCACCTTTACAATAAAAACTCACTCGATATCAAACCTGTCGAGGTTCATTCTTGGTATCTAGCTCAGTATCATCTAAATTATCATTTACTTTTGAGGGTGACGTCCGAGACGGTGTTCTAATAAGAGAAGGAGTGGTTGATTTTACTTGTGGCCTTGCTTGTTTAACTACATTAGTTTTCAAATTTCCTTCTGTGCTAGTTCCTAAACTGCTATTTGATTTATGTCTAGCTATCTTTGATCCATTTTTTGCTGCTGTATTAAGTTTTTCATTATTGGAACTTGATGATAGGGGTGGTGTCAACGATGGTGAACGACTTAAAGATCCAGATGGCTTAACTAAGGATCGCACACCTATACCAGTAATACCATTTGATATTCCATTCTGATTATTCTCATGTACAGTCAAAGAACTATCAGCATTGTCTTTAATTTGTTGTATTTCGTTATGAACTACAGAAGATTGATCTTCTGAGTCATAATTCGATCTCGGTGTTCGAGGTTGAGACCAACTTAAACCTCTCCCCAAAGACATTGAAGATGAAGAAAAAGACCCATTTCCATAAAATAAAGTATTTCCACCATTAACATTTGCTTTAAAATGACCATTCACATTTAACACACTAGATTTCTCATCAGCTTTGTCAAGTGAGGAAGAAGAAGATCTATCAATCGGTGACCTTGCAGAAAGAGTAAACCGTTTACGAATTTTAAGAGGCATAGCAGCGGGTGACTATAAATTTAAATAAATTTAATGAATGAATGAATGAATATAGAGTCATACTTGATCCAACTTGTAACTTACGCTGTTCATGGAAGCAAGGACCTCATCATCAGTAACGTCTTATTCGAATAGTTGCTATTAGTAATTTTATATATAACTAGTTAAATATTTCTTATAGTCTTTTGTGCTTACCATGATGATCCAATTTTTTCAACCAAGGCAAGTACCTAAGAATTGTGTACCGATATTTCCTTTCATCATCTGCACAAGGGTTGTCACATAACCAAAGTACTTCTAAATTTCTTAACGTTGTCAAATGTTTTACTTCTTCGACATCGTTAATATAATTCTTTCGTAAATAAAGTTCTATAATTAATAGAAAGTAGAAAATTGTGAATAATAAATTACATGTAATCAAAATTATAAAACATAATCGAATATATTACAAACCTTTTAAATTTTTACCTAATAAAGATCAATTATTTTAAACAAAATTCGCGACGAAATTTACGTGAGACCAATGTTGACACGCGTTGTATAAAGTCTGTATAACACCATAAAACTGAAAAGCTGACTCACATTCCGCAAGTTGATCCAGGGTAGCGAGATTATTGACACTACATTCATTAAAAAGCAAAAAAAAAAAAAAAAGTAAAAATATTGAAAAATATACAAATAAAAGGTTGTTTACCTTTTAATTACCTCAAACTTAATACTTCTAAGCTAGTACATTTTTTAAGAGCGCTGACGTTTTCTAACTCACAGCCCTAATAATAAGGAGTATTAATTACGTATTAAGGTAATTTAAATTTAGATCGTTGCTTTTTTTAACTTATCGGTACCCAAAGATTTAAGTTGCGAACGTCGGAGATTGATTTGGCACTTGACTTTGACAGAATAAGATCTTCTGTCAATATTACCATTCTGCCTTGTCTAATATTCTATGTCTACTATGTTGTATGATTAGAAAATATGTACACTTTATGAACATATACGAAACAATAAATTTCTAAATTTCTAAATTCTAAAGAAAAATCGAAGTTACATTTCACAACTGCAATTGTTTATAAAAAAAAAAAACAATTTGATGAAAGTTTCCGGATCCCGATTGGATACACGTTCAAGCAAGCCACTTATTCATTCAATCAATTGACAAATATAAATTATTTATATAAATAAAAATAAAATAATTGTGTCTATATTATCTATTTACGTACTTCGTTAATATGACAGCACATGATAATATTCATTCGTTACATAAAATTTATTCTTTATCGTGACATCACAGCAAATTGCACTAGCAATTTTAATTTAACATAGGATTCGACGGAAGTTATCGTTAAAATGTCTGATGGTGCCCCGGAAATATAAATGTATGAGTGAGGGAAAGGAAAAACATGTAAATTTGATCAACAATGGTTAACACACGTTTACTCGTGCTTCTGTAAAATGACCAGTTATTGGTCATTTTCACGTTGGTCATTTCACAGTCTAAATGACTTAAGATTAATTTAGTTAATTGATAATCTAATACCTTTTAGTCAATCAAAATTAGGGTTTTATAAAATGCCGTATAAGACGTACCCGGGTATTTTATACGTATTTCACGCGTTATACGTATCCAGTGTTTAAAATCTATACTGTATGCGGAATCTGCGGTGCACAGAGCAAAATTTTCTTAGGAATCTGCGAATTTTTATTATGTGTCATACATGTTATGCATCTTTTTTTATAACTATAACCGGTGGTGATTATCACCGGGGTGCTATATCTCATGTCAGGGATACTAAGCAAAAATGTTCAGAACCTCCAAAAACCTAACTAAAATTTGAACTATATATTATATATACAGTATATATGCTGTATAACCTCCTATATATTCCAAACTGCATCCTAAACCCTAAAAATAAGATGTGGTGATGATCATCACCGGTTATTTGTACATACATACGTACGTACGTACGTACGTAGTAAAAATCTTTATTATCTGTTATGTTATCAAGCTTTTTCCGCATACGTATTGAAAAAATTGAATTTTAAATACTGCTTATGCCCCCGGCATTTGCCTACGTATTAGAAAAAATTATTATTATTATTATTATTATTACTAAATCGACCATTGATTTGTATTTGGGTATCTTAACCTTGTATTGATATCTGATATAAAAGGCAAACTTTATACATATTACGTATTAGATAAAATTTTATTAAATAATTTTTTTGTATATATACGTACAGTATATATATATATATATATATTTATATTTTTACATAATGCAAAAAGCTTATCTAAATTGTACGTATAAAAATGTTACTTTATTTTAATTAAAAAAATCATTTTTTTATGCAATATTTAATGATTAAAAAGATTTGCATAACTATCCTTTATACACTAACCTAAGTAAAAGAAGATGTTTTAGCACATACAAACATTATTATGTAAACATGAAATTTGATGACGACGCTGGAGAAATGTAAAAAAAAAAGGCCAGCATTATAAACAGCCAATCAAAATTCGGGATTTGTTAACACAAAGACATCAAGTGGGCTGCCGTCAATAGAAATAAGGCAAATTGACATTTTAAAAAAAATTAATCCCTTAACTTTCACAGCTCATAACTCGATGAATTTCAAGGCTATCTTAATGATTTATTATTCAAAAGAAAGCATACGATCTAAGCTTTCTTTCGAATATTAAATTATCAAAATAGCCTCAAATTTTATCGAGAGATGAGCTGTGAAAGTTAAGGTATTAATTTTTTTTAAAATATCAATTTGCCTTATTTCTATTGACGGCAGCCCAAGTGTACTATTGCTCTGTCTGCAATGTTCTTGGGACCTTAGTAATAATTATAAAGATCACAATATTAATAAGTAGTCTTTAAAATTAGATAAAGCTTTAGGAACTTTAGTGAATTTCAATAGCAATAACGGATCCGAATCGAAGACTATCCGATCGAACCCTATTTTGGTATTTACTGATCCTATTGATCCAGATCAGCAACTTGCAATTATTAAAAACCATAATTTTTAGAACGAGCTCAAATCCAAGTTTTACGTACAAGGCGTGAAAATTTATAAATGAGTGAAACTGATATATTAACTGCGCAATTTATCTCTGCTTATACATATCTTAACAAACATTCAAATATTAAGTTATCTGATGAAATAAAATTAAAGGTAATAACATCCCTATTTTCCTTTTTTTTTTTATGTAATTTAATTAAATTGCTTTCAACTTTTGTTATTCTCAAAAAAGCTTTATGGCGCTTATAAAGCTGCAACAATTGGCATTTGCAACACACCAAAACCCTCTTTACTAGATTTTAGAGGTAGAGCCAAATGGGATTCTTGGAACGAACTAGGTGACATTGCAAAAGAGGAGGCAAAGCAACGTTATATTGATATTTTAGAACAAGCAAATGTTGGATGGAGTAGAGACCATGTGGACAATGATGAAAATTCGTCGGATACTGATGACAATGATAAAATAGACAATGTAGCGTCCTTTTTTTTTTTTTTTTAATTTGTTAGATTTTTAGAATCATAGCTGTTCTTACCAAGACGTGATGAGTAGGGAACGATGGATACTCCACGAGATAGATGGACATATGTTTCCACTTTGTCATATGGAGAAGAAGAAGTAGAGACAAAGTTAGTACTATATATTGCAATCGGAAATTATCCGAGCAATACTTTTTCCTTCACCAATATTAGAATACAGTCATTAATTAGTAAGGCCTTATTAAGTAGATCGACTTTATGGTTATTAAGTTGCTTTGTCGATTCATATATACTCCGAAATTCTTGCTATATCAGGGTTTGAGGCAAAAAAAAATAGGGTTTGAATGGAATGTTTAAAATTTATGCACAACCTATTTTTCTTTTGGGCAAGAATTCAAAATATGTATGGAATTGTCAACTTACTAAGTTTGCGAGTAGTGACATTCATAGCATTTAGTGATTAATCAATCAAAATAAAAATTTCTGTTCTGATTCGAGTGCCAACCCCATACCAAATCGAAGTTGGTTTTTGGGTCGAATTAGGATTGGCCTCTAACTCGAGCCAAAGCAAATTGTTTAAGGCACTATGATTAACACAATTGCTCATTTTTTCTTCATTCCCTTAAATAGTGATGATATGTTTTCATACGCCAAGCAAGGTAAGTCTTCTGAAATAAGTGGAATATTAGAATCAGGAGAAGCTAACGTAAATGCTAAGGACGACCAGGTAGCATCCATGATGTTTTGTTGCGATTTTTTTTTTTTTTTCATCGTGTACAATCAAGTGATTTAAAAAATTATATAAACTGAAGGGATTGTCACTCTTACATTGGGCTTGTGATCGAGGACATTTGGATGTCGTCAAATTATTGATTGAAAAAGGTGCTGACATAAACATTTTGGTAATAATTTATAAAACTATTATCTGTGTATTAGTTCATTTATTTAGTTATTTAATACCAAATTTCTATTTCGATTACACTTATTTTTTTTTAGTCAGATGGAAATGAGACTCCTTTACATTATGGTAATTTATAACCAATATAATTTTAAATGATTTATTTATTGGTACAAATATTTCTTTGTAATCATTTACAATTCTTTACATATAGCATGTATTTCTGAGCATTTTGATTGCGCAAGTTATTTGTATAAAAATGGCGCCAACATTTTGCTTAAAGATGAGGATGGATTAACAGCTTTTGAACATTGTAGTATTGAATTTAAAAATTCAATTATTCAAGAATAGTATTAAAAATTAATTGATTTTTAAATAAATTTTTAAATTTAATAACTTTTTCTTGAACGTATTTACTGTAAGCGCGTTATATTTTTGTGCTGGAAAAAGATAAAGGTCTAATTAACAAAAATTTGAATATAATACTATAAAATAGTTTTTCTTGCTTTTTTTTAAACCTTTATAACATACTGCTCTTTTAAAGATGCATTTTACTAAAAGTTTCACTCATGTGCATCTAACAAGCTATTTTATACATCAAGATCTTAAAAACTCCAAAAGAATCATGTAAAAGAAGGCAAAATAATTGCTTATATTTGAAGAGGTTGCACAGTACCAAGTAATATTAGTTTTTTACATTTTTTATACCATTTAATTCATTGAAGCTCTGTTAATTTATTTGTCTTAAAAAGCATTACTGCGATTACAAGTAGTAATTATCATGTAAATATTGTTACAAAATAGATTTTAGAATAGTGTAAAAGTAGTGTAATACAAACTTTATATTATATTTTATTAGCATGTTATTATCTTATTATATTAAATACAACTTTTATTTTTAGTATATATATAAATTTAACAAGAATCTAATCTTACTTTAAACTTTATAGTAATTAATATAAAGTTTAAAATCAGATTAAAATAAATATTATATTAGTATATTTTTAGTACTAATATTACAAGTAAATATAGACTTTTTAATATGTTATCTACAATATAGCACATAGTAACAGAAACTACAAAGACTTCAGTATAGTATGAAGTAATATAAAAGTAAAATATTTCCTTATTTGAACAGTTTAGTATATTTATTAGAAGCATATGGGCTTGGTGCT